AGGTTGCTGTGAGCTGTAATGCCATGGCACTCTGCCCAGGGGGACAGCTTGAGGCTCTGTCTCAAAAAAAAAAAAAATAAATAAATAAATAAATAAATATTAATATGAACCTTTAGTTCTTAAGTTATCAGCACTGCATCTTTTTTTTTTTTTTTGAGACTGAGCCTCAAGCTGTCCCCCTAGGTAGAGTGCCATGGCATCACAGCTCACAGCAACCTCCAACTCCTGGGCTCAAGCGAGTCTTCTGCCTCTGCCTCCCAAGTAGCTGGGACCACAGGTGCCCACCACAATGCCTGCCTATTTTTTGGTTGCAGCCGTCATTGTTATTTGGCAGGCCCGGGCTGGATCCGAACCCGCCACCTTAGGTGTATGTGGCTGGCGCCTTAGCCACTTGAGCCACAGGCGCTGAACCAGCACTGCCTCTTTATATAACAAAATCCTTAGAATAACATAGCAGACATGTAGCATTAGAAATACACATATTAGTAAGCAGTCTGTAAGATAAAAAGTGATATTAAAATTGAAAGGCAGGGAAATAGGCAGAAAACAAGGAAAAAAAGGAAGGGAGGGAAAGAAAAAGCACTTCTCTTGTTACCTTTCTTCTTTGGTAAGACGTGCCAGCTTTCTGGCTTTGTGAGCAAGGATAAACCTAAAACAAACAAGAAAAAGAGGAGAAATTAATGGTTGTTTTCATCCTGTCCTCATTTCAATTGCTACACATGTGCCCAGTATTCAATGTTAAAAGCCAATCAGGAGACACAAACTATACACTAGCATGTTTTATGTTCAAAGTTTTACTATACATGTTACATTCCTGACTCTGAAGAGCATCTTCTAGCTTTCAAGGAGTGAAGGGAGTAAAAATAAACGACAGATCATAATTTCTGCCTAGAGTGATAGTATGGGTGACTCACTTCCCTCCACTGGCTGGTGGCCAATAAGAATAAGACTTGGGTATCAAATGTATAATTAAGGCCATCTCTGAGCCCTTCCAATTTCATCCAGTCTTTGGTCTTTGGTTCTATCTCCACCCTGGTGTTTTCCTAGCATCTAACTTTCTAGATTCTGTGTCCACTTCTAGAACTGCAATTGCCTTGATCTCCCTGCTGTGATACTTGGATCTCTCTGAGATAAACTCATATGTGTCTTATGGCTCATCTTAATTTATGCTACTCTAGGAAACTACCTCTCTAGGCTCCTAAGGCATCCCTACCTGTGCTAGGTTTTCATGATAAACTGAAGACTGGGCTAATCTTGGCTCTTCTTTAGTGGGACTGAAAAACCTCAGCATCCCACATACATAATATTGATACCCACACAGCCTCTACAAGAAGCCCTCTTAGTAAAACACTCTGAGTCAGGTTTTTCAATCATACTTTCTTTCTTTCTTTTTTTTTTTTTTTTTTTTTTGTGAGACAGAGCCTCAAGCTGTCACCCTGGGTAAAGTGCTGTGGCATCACAGCTCACAGCAACCTCCAA